GGCTGCCGAGGCGAGAGGGGAGCCGGCGGGGGAGATGGACAAACGGGCCGGCCCCTCGAGCCAGGGTCGGAGGCCGAGCTCTTGAGGCACCGCGAAGGGCCCACCCCATCCATGGCCCACGCGACGCTGCTTCTCCCTGCGCACGGGCGGCAGCGCGGTTACGCTCGGCGCTTCCCCTCTGCCTGGGGAGGGTTGAGGGGCGAGACGCCTAGCTCGGCGGCCCGAGAACAGAGCCCCGGAATGAGGCGTTTCTGGACTGTCCAGAGGCAGATCTGCCCTCCGGGCGCGGGGAGGCTCCCCAGCCTACGAGTCACTTCGCGTGGCCGGGGCGAGGGGGGTTGTCATGTGGGTCAGACACTGGCCGAGCTGTCACGTCTCCCTCAAGTCAACTCCCTGCGGTTGATGGCCCCTGTCTATCTAACACACGCCGGAGGGAGGGTGGTTTCCAGAAACGTCTCAAGAATATTTATCACTAAAATTGCCTGGGGAGCAGGAGAGAGGCTCCGGAAGGGGAGCGAGTTTTGTATTCTGATTTTACTGGGAGAAGAGCCGTTTGAGATGGAAATCGTGGAGGAGGCTGCGTTTTCTTTGTGTACTGCGTAGTATAGTCATTATGTGAGTAGTTAGGAAACCGATAGCACTCCTGGGGTAGTAGGAAAAGAGATGGTGACAGTACTACACTATTGCCAAAACCAAGTTTATGCCCTGCTCCGAGGAAGGGTGCATGGCGTACTTAGGGAAAGTCCACGGGAGACTTAAATAGATTTCTGACTTTCAGCTTTTACTGGATGAACTCGTCAGTGCCTTTTTATTGGTGTGTTTTATCAGTTAACACCAGCAATGAGCACGTGTATCTGAGTGCTTATCTAGACAGAACAGTAATGTAAACTACTGGGGTCAGACGTTTAAAGTGCACTAGGTGGTGTGGTCTGGGTGTGTTTGTTCATAAGGACCCTGCTGGTGTGCACTAAACGTTCCCTTGTACTGTTCATGTAGTGATGTTTGAAGCAGGGCTGCATTATAGTGCACAAGGGGGTGTGTGTGTGTGTGTGTGTGTGTGTGTGTGTGTGTGTGTGTGTGTGTGTGTGGTTGTGTGTTTGTGTGTGTGTGTGGGTGTGTGTGTGTGTAAAAAGAGAGCCTGACCTTTTGGCGTGGAGGGGGGGAATGCCAAGCCCTGAAATAAGCATTACATGGTGGGTTTACTTCTAACTGATGAGATGGGTGGGGATTGTTCTCATTTTCCTAAGACTGGTTGCTTTTAAACATTAGTGAGCATGAAACCCCTGATGTGTGCAAAATAAATACTTGACCTAAATTAAATGTAGTTTACACCTCTACACAATCGACTCCTTCCACATCACTCTTGGAATGAGGATAATTTTTATTAGTTGAGGCTGTCTATTCTGGGAAGATAATACTAAGTCTTGAGAATTGCATCAGATTTTTTGACCACATTGTCTCCTCTCCCATGATTACATAGGCTGTTAGCCTTCTGCAGTTTGGATTTTGTTACAGCCTCCCAAGCCATCTTCCCTGTTCAGGTATACCTATGGTACAAGCTGTTTTAGACTCTGAACGGAAATATTTAATATCTGGCAACAGTGATAAATCTTAGCATTTTACCCTCCCCAGTACTTGTAAAAAGTAGTAGTCCTGTGGCACCCTAGCAACTAACATATATAAATAAAGTATCATGATCTTTTGTGGGCAAAATCCACCTCAGATGACCTTGGGTTTTGCCCAGTAAAGCTCATGATTCGTTCATATGTGTGTGTACACAATAATTATAGTGAGACCTCAATTTTAGTCTGAGGTGCCACAGGACTAATTTTTTTTTAATTTACAGACTAACGGGACTACCTCTCTGAGACTTTTAAAAATGCTTCTTGTATTCTGTCTTGAAGGGATAGTAATATACCTAGCAGTGCTTTCAGATAGAGATGTGAGTGACTAGTTGACTATCTGATAAGCAGATGCTTATTGGGTAGTTGACTAGTTTCCCCCTCCCCTCCCACTGGCTGTCTCTCAGAAAGCGGCAGACCCCAGATGGCCCAGGCTGCATGCAGCGTTTCAAAAGGGCAGTGCCGCGTGGAGCCTGGGATGAGTTGGATACTATCCAGCTGACCCCAGGCTCCATTTGAAATGCTGCATGGGACCTGTGGACTTAAGTGCCAAGCTGGCCCTGTGCTCCCTACAGTGCTTTCGCCTTTGAACCACAGGGCTGTTGCTACACTTCAGAGGCAGAAGTGCCTGCATCGACTAGTCAACGCAAATTGCATTGGCTCTTCGATTAGTCAAATAATCAAAACTTTACATCACTACTTTCAGAAGCTTAATTTATGAAGTAGAAATGACAATTCATAAAAAGCTGAATTTTTGTGTCTGCACAAGATCAGTGTGCAGTTGTCTTTAATTTTTTTATCCCTAAAAAGGTATATTTGTCTCTCTGGATGTATGATTAATTTTAAATCTGTAATACACTGTTGAAGTACATGCAAGTATTAATAATCTTTGGGTTTCTAGATGAAAATAAGTGCCCCTAAATTACAGTAGCACTTCTCCATCTTGCTCAATCAGGCATGCTCACATGCCTACAGCATTCTACTAACAACTTACAACATGTACATGCACACTACTAATGTACTTGAATTGCCAAAAATGTAAGAAGACTGAGTTGAGAGAACTCATATTTCTTAATAGAATTCACTTTGGAGTAGTAGTAAGATCTTGTTTCTGTAGCTGAGAACTTTGGCTCTACTAAAGTTTACTTGTAACATTTCTTTCATTTTAACTATTTTTATTTTCTCCATCACAGCTAAACATCCAGAGATAAAAGCATTAATGAAGCCAGATTACAACTTGATCTGGGTGGTTATATTGATGGTTCTTGCACAGTTGATTGCATTTTATTTAGTTAAAGACTTGGACTGGAAATGGGTTATATTCTGGGCTTATATTTTTGGCAGCTGCATCAGTCACTCAATGACTCTGGCTATTCATGAGATCTCTCACAATAGTGCATTTGGCAACTGCAGAGCTATGTGGAATCGGTGGTTTGGAATATTTGCCAATTTCCCTATTGGCCTCCCATACTCCATATCCTTCAAGAGATATCACATGGATCATCATCGCTATCTAGGAGGTGATGGAATTGATGTGGACATTCCTACTGACTTTGAAGGGTGGTTTTTCTGTACTCCTTTTAGGAAGTTCATATGGATTGTTCTTCAGCCCTTTTTCTATGCTATTCGACCTCTCTGCATCAATCCCAAACCAATTTCTCAAATGGAAATCATCAACTTGTTGGCTCAGATCTCATTTGATGTTGTAATGTATTACTACTTGGGAATTAAATCAGTTTTCTACATGCTTGCAGGATCAGTACTTGGATTAGGCTTGCACCCAATTTCGGGACACTTCATAGCTGAACATTATATGTTCTTAAAGGGACATGAGACTTACTCCTATTATGGGCCACTTAATTTGCTCACTTTTAATGTTGGCTATCACAATGAACATCATGATTTTCCCAATATTCCTGGCAAGAACCTTCCACTGGTAAGTACCCTTTCAAGAGTATATAAAGCTGATGGTAATCTGGCACTTGTATCTGTGGCTTTTAGTTTTGGTCGAAGTTGGACACTGTAGACTTAAAACTATATGAAATAATTGTCTAGTATCATAGTGCTCTATGCTATGTTACTTCTAACTGCAAGGCTGGATGGGGGAGGACAGTCCTGTTCTTTCCTATTTGCCTGCTGGGTAGTACTTGACAGCATTTTGCATACTGCATTAGTTTCACTCAAAGTAGTACACCTTTGGTTCCTTTGAGTTTCCCATGCAGCAGTAGAAGTGAAGTGTAAGTTAGAATACGACTACAAAAATGGGTGGGGGGGCAAGACTGAAACAACATTAAAAAAAAAAAAAAAAAAAAAAAAACCAGCCCTGCATTTTAATTTGACCATTTCTTAAAAAAAAGTTTTCTATTAACAAGCAAAAACAACTTGTTTACCTCGGGTTAACATTTGGGAACCTTTCAAATTCTTGAACCTCTTACGACCAACACATTAAGTGTGTGGTGGTGGTTTTTTTTTTTTTTTAAATTTGCATGATGCTGACTTCACATTGCCACAAATGCAGCACTCTGGAGCTACTCTGAAAATTCTCCAGTTGAGGTGGCCAAACTAGTAGTTAGTATTTATTGCCATTGTTTTTGTCAACTCTAGAGATATAAAATCCTGGTTAACCAGTTAAGTATTCGGCTAACTCACTAAGCAGGATCCAGGCTGGGAACAGCACTCTGTCCATGGCAGGTGTGGAGCTGCTGCAGCCCTCCCTGGATACCAGTTAAGCAGTTATCAGAACCATTAAGCATCACCTTTTTAGGATGTTGCTTATCTGTTAACCTTTCACATCCCTAGTCAGCACCAGTTCCACACATGGAGATAAAATTACAGCTGTTTAGCAAGGCTTAATTCCTATGTTCTACAATAGAATCTGAGAAATCCTTCATGTAATCATCATAGGTAAATCTGTCTTCAATCTTGTTACACAATTTCTTTAGTATTTTACATTCCTATAAGCCAGTTGCAACTTTAATATTGCTGCATTTTCAGCTGCATGACATAAATCCCTTTGGAATACTTAATGCAAATCGCTCTCTAGTACAGCCTTTCCTCGCGTTCCGAACGAGTTATGGACTAAACACTTGGCCATAACTTGAAATGTTGGTAACTCGGACCCCATTGAGTTACAAACACAACCCATGCTTACGAACAGCATAGTCGCAATGTAACTCGGAGACTACCTTTATGACCTCTCAATGGGAGTTTTGGTCGTAAATGTGACTGGTCTCCTTCCTATCCTGAGTATATAACTTTTGGGCCAGCGTTCCTTTTAATTTTTCACACTCCTGAGTGGAATGAATTGTATGTGCAACACCATGGTCTCCCCACCTAGGAGCCAGACCTGCTGTGCTGGCAGTTTTCCTGCTAGCTCTGGCCAGGGTAGAAAGGCCTCTCTCACTGATTGGCCCCAGCACAGAACTCTAGTTTGAGGATTTAAAGGCCTTCTCTGTAATCTGGCCTTGGGCATTAAAACAGTTTTGCAAGTCTGCCTATAATAGGTATTAAAACATTCATCACATTGGATGGATAAAATTAGCATTTTAAAAACAGGGTTATTAAAATCCATTTAATTTTTAAGTTTGAAACTCACAACATAAGGCCTACATTTATGACTCAATTTTATTTTTGTCCTCTTAGGTGAAAAAAATTGCAGCTGAATACTATGATAATCTTCCACAATATAACTCCTGGATCAAAGTGCTGTATGACTTTGTGATGGATGATACACTCAGCCCTTACTCACGCATGAAAAGGAAGTTAAAGGGTGATGTGAAACAGGAATAAACTTCTGCTAACCAAAAGACTGCAAAGCAAAATATTTCAGATCATCAGCTAGTTGGTATAAGGAATTCCTGTGAGAGTATATTTTGAATTATTAAAATTCTGACATACAGGAATGCATTGATCTATCCTAATAGACCTCTTCAGACCACTTAGAACCTTCAACTAGTGGTAGTCTAACAGTCCCTGGCTTCTTTGGTTTAACTAATACAAAACATGACTATGCTCAATGTATATGTGTAATAGTTCTAAACAGTTTGTTGTCTAATACTTTTCACAGCTGTTCATAAACCTTGTACTCAGGCACCTGTTTCTGGCTTTGCTGGTTTAGACCTATGAAAGGTCCTTCAAACTTACTTGCACTTCTGGCTCGTCCACTTCTGCCCACTCAAAGCTCGTAACTTAGTCTTTTATAGTATTAAAGTTCATACTTGATCAAATTAATTCTAACATGATTAACTTAAATCTTGTTTCATTAAATGTGGCTTCAACCTACTTGGATTAGTGAAAAGCATTATTTAGGCACTTCAGTCCTAACTGAGGCTCTAGTATGAACCTTGTTTGCACCTAAAATCATTCAGGGCACAAGTTCCTAGTTGCTTAAGTTTCTGGCTGTGGGCCTGTGCACTGCTTTCTTAAGCCCCAAACTGAATCACAAAGCAGAGGAAAAAGGGTTTTTGTTTACTTATGGGCAGGCCCTACTCCAGTAGATGGAAAGAGCCTGATTCTTGCTGGTAGTGATAGTGCAATCTGTCATTCACTTCCCTCAGCCCTATTACTACAAAAGACACTTAGGTTCCTAAGTTCCCTCAAGGCAGTTGACTCCCATTTGTGAATTGCTAAACTGAGGCACCTCGCTGGAGTCAGGTGTCTCTCTGTGGGAGGAGTAGGGTTATCTTGACAGCATCTGCCCCTGGTTATCTTAGGCACTCCTGGCCTAGTATGCTGGGTTTTTTTGTAGATTGTATTCTAAGATGCCTATCTCTTCCCCATTTGTTGTGTAGATAGCCTGCAGGCCTAACTCAGTTTTGGCAATTGCAGTCCTGTGATTGTCCAAGCCATCTGATAGTAGGTGCTATGATGCTCAGCACTGCAATACCAAAGTCCCTTCATGGATCCCATTCTTAATGATCACTATCACCTGTTCCATCTTGAAAGTGAATATAATTACTTCAAGTAGTTAACAAATCTGAGGTAGATGGCTAGGTGCCTCCTGCACAGGGCACTACAGCTGCAGCCATAAGCTATTGTAGCCAATTTGATGGTCACTGATACACAATAAATTGGGTAGTTAAAATGAATTAAAAGTCAAAATTCCAGGAAGGGGGCCCTGTAAACTTCCAGTGTGTTATCCACCCTCAAAGAATCCTTTTTACTTCACTGTCTCTAAAAATGCAGATGTCTTGAAAATGTAGTCCTTATCTGGATTTGGTTAACTCATATCAAAGTTTAATTTTATAGCCCCCATACAACAGTTTTGGGTATTTATAAAGTATTAATTTCTGTTTGGGACCTATGACAAAATAGCTGGTATACTGTACCATGTAACTAACTAGTTACATTTTTCAACTGCTTCCTTCATATAAATATAATTGAAGATCAGTACTTAAATACATGCTTTTATGTAACACTGGAAAACTGGCTTTTGTACTGGGGTGCCTTGTTACTAAACTAGCTTTCAGTGGATTAAAATGCAATGTTTTTATCCAAAGCTTAAGTATAGCTTAACCTCCCTAATTACTTTTATAAAGGCTAGAAATATGAAGCAAGTTGAAATGTAAGGATTGCTTTTAATTAACTTTTGGAAGCAGATGGGCAACTAACTAGAAATCTAGCACTTGTATTTTGGGCAGTGAAATTGTCAGCTAATATTGTTGTTTTTTAAGCAATATTAATGTTGGCTAATGGTGGTTCAATGCTTTTCTGCTTGCTATTAATGAAAACTTTCTTAAAAGGGGGAGATGAAGCACATTCCATTATCTAAACTCTTCTGTACTGAGAAGGCTCTCCTGTGCCTGGATGGGGGACTGAACATCTTCATTAAAACCTTCCAGTAGATGAGAAAAGATCTTCTGCTGCTTCTTTGAATAGTGTCTCTGTATCTGCTCCACTATAGCTGTGCTTGAGTCCTTGATCTTCTGATCAGAGGACTTTGGTAGCAGTATCTGTGGGGACTACACACATGCTGTGTCTCCTCATGTTACACCACAAGGTCAATCAGCACAAGCTAAGGATGTGAAATTGCAGTTAATCATATAATTGACACAATTTGTATTTACTACACAATTAATCGATAAGGACCGCTCTGCAGAGCCATAGCAGGGGTAGCTCCAGGAGCCGGCTTGAGCTGCAACTGAGCACACCTGTATTGTGAAGTTCTGCATTTTAAATGTAGTAAGTCACCAGGTTCTTCCTACATTTAAAATGCAGAGGCACAGCGCCTTGTGCAGTAACTACTGTTCAAGATGTTTCCTAGTGGGCACTCTACAACCTATCCCCCCTCTCCTCCACTGCACTCTAGTCAATGAGGACTACTAGGCTAGTAAAGAAGGAACTGAGGGGAATTAACCCATGTGTGCTGTCTAACCTCATGCAGATTCCTATTTACATGTAAGGCCAAAACAATTGACTTGTCTTTCTCCGCAGAGCTTTTAAGATGTCAAAGCACTTTTGCCATTGTCCTCAAGCCAGATGTCCTACTTTTATGTAGGAACAGTCTAGTATTTGCCGGTCACCTTTCAGCCCCCAGTTACCTTGATTTCAGCGGTGATGTAATTTGTAAAGTACTTTGGAAGATGGGTGGGGGGGGGGGGGGGGGGGG